AGCAATGGGTTTCCTTGTACAAGGGAAAATCAATCTGCAGAATCCTTTGAATTGGATTCAATATATAAATGGGGTTGGATGCATATTTGATCGTAAATTTATTTCTGTGAAGATGGGAGTAGAATCTAGAAAAATAAATTAAAATAAGAAATAAGAAGATGTGATTTTGGTAGACAAAGACGGTGGGGATCAGAATTCTACCTCTACCTCTACCTCTACCTCAAGTGCAACGCTCCAATACTGCATGCTTCAATTTTATATTAAAATAAATATGTCTCTGTGTTTTTCTTCCAACCCCTACCTTCAAAAAATAAAATAAAATTTCCCTTGAAATGAAATCTTCATTGGGCCGGCCCATTATACATAAAATTGTCTACACATACAGTACAGTACAGCACAGCAGCCCCACCCAGGGCTTTAATTCCCAAAATTGCAGAAAGGAATTGGAGAAGAAGGAAGATGGACACAGAGTGGTACAACGACGTTCCCTGCTCTTCCATCGCCGTCGAGTCCATCATTAGCATCGCCACTGTAACTACCCATCCCCAAAAACAATTCTTTTCATTTTCATTTTCATTTTCATTTTCATTTTCATTTTATATGCTATAATCGATCAAAATATGTTAATCGCAGGGCGGATTAATCTGGGGTTCCTGTGCTGCTTCCTACGATGCCAACCAAAGAGGTCAACTTCTTGCACTCTGATTTTTGCCTCCAACTTTTACTGTTTTCCAGATGCAATTATTTCATGTACCTAATTTGAAACATTACTTCATGATTTGGTGTGAAATTAGATAGAGTCAGTTCTATAACTGTTTGTTTACTTAATATGATTTAGGCTTGACTGGGATCCATCGTGCTTCTTTCGTGGTAAGTCTCTTCTCTTTCTATAACCCCACTTCATTTCAATTCATGCTACTTGGCTTCCTCTTCAAGAGCTGCTTGACTTGACTTTTTAGGTTGTAAAAAAAAATGACATGAAAACTACACTGTATCTTCTTATAACTCTAGTTTTCTGTTCGAGTAATGGTTTTGTACTTGCAGGCCAAGGCAGTTGGTAAATACGGGTTTCAATGTGGTAATCTCCTGGATGCATCTTCTTAACCACATCACATGATTATATCAGTAATTTTGTGGTAATCTTGTTCAGGACTGTTTGCTGGAATATTTTCCTTTACACGGTGTCGGATTCAAAGATACCGCAAGAAAAGTGATTGGGTTAGCTTATTGAACATGTTTGGATATGATGTTGATCTATGATTGTGATTGTGATTGGGTGGGTAATGGGATATGATTATTTGAATGAACAGGTGAATGCTCTGGTTGCGGGTGGGGTTGCAGGGGCAGCCATTGGTGCTGGAAGCCGAAACTGGAAGCAGGTTGCAGTGATGACTAGTGTTCTATCTGGATTTTGTGCAATTGCTGACCAATCCAGACCAATCTGAGTTCCAAATTAGGACTCACCAATCTASTAGTGGTATTTGATTTTGAAGAAGGGGAAGTTGAATGATATGGAAGTAATTTTGAGTTATGTCTTGATCTTCAATTGAACCATATATCTATACTATTTCTCACTATAGATAGATAAATGTGTATTTATATCAAGGGATTGTTTGTAAAAATAAGTTACCTTATTTTCTGGGTATACGTTTCGTTTCGTTTGGATGCATATAAACTAGCTTATTGAAACGCTACCTGAAGTAGCGTTTTGGTAGTTTATTGTCACCAAAGGCTATGTTTGGCAAACCAGCTGAATGAACAAATCATGTTTGATAAAACTAACTGGCGAAAATGTAAAATGACTAAAAACAGTATCTTGAAAAATTAATCAATTATAATATTTTAAAATATAATTGAAACAAATCTTTAATAATATAGTATAGATATATTAACTAATACAAATAATACATTTTTATTATCTATGAAACAAAATAAGTATAACTTTAATTTTTATATTACATAAATAAAATTGTTATATTTGCATTTCAATAACTAAATATATTTGGCATTGAAAAGGTTGAAATTAAAAAAAAAAAAAAAACAGATTGTATGATGAGGAGGAGGGAAATGGGTTAAAAGTTGACAACACCACCTTCAAATGAAAATCACATAATATTGATGAAGCTTTTAGGCTTCAAACTTAAATMAAAGATGGAGATGTCCTTTAATTTCTCTTCACTACATTTTTACTTTAGTAGTTGTATGTTTGGGCAACTAAATATTAAATTGATGACGGGAATACATCTTTACAAGGCATGTACAAGGAAACGTCTGTGGGACGAAGCTAGCCAACTATGGATATGCAGTGTTTGGGATAGATTACCAAGRACATGGACGCTCCATGGGTGCACAATGTTACATCAATAAGTTTGATGACATTGTTACCGACTGTTGCAACCACTTCAAATTCATTACTGGCTGGTCCGTCATTTCTTTTTCTTTTTTTCTTTGCCTAAATTGACCACTCTTCTGCTTATTTGGTGTATGGACATCTCAGGTAAAGACGAATACAAGAAGAAGAAAAGATTCCTCTAATGGGGGGTGCAGTTGCCCTTCTTGCACATAGAAAAGAAGCCAATTTCTGGCATGGTACAGTTCTAGTCGCTCCCATGTGTAAGGTAACAACCCTTACCTTTTTAATTAAAAAATACATTATATATATATATATATGTGTGTGGGTCGGGTTCAAACGAGAAGCATCTAGTTGGTTTGTTAATATTTGGTATTTGATAGATATCARAAAAGGTGAAGCCTCACCCAGTGGTGATAAGCATACTAACAAAAGTAGAAGATGTGATTCCCAGATGGAAGATTGTCCCAACAAAGGATGTCATCGAT